TGAGTGAGAATGGGGAGGGGAGGTGATTGTCACATCTTGGTGATACAATTACCAAGTTCCAAAGCAGCAAGAGTGAGAGTCCACAGTCAGATGAATTTGTAAAGAGTTAGATAGGGACAGGGGAAGATGGGGACACGGGGATCACCCGGCGGCCAAAGGCAGGAGGAAGATCCAATCCGCGGGAGGTCTGGGATCGGGGGTGATGTGGAATACACCATGTTTATTTTATTTATGTCATACGCACCCGTGAAAACAGAAAATTCAATAAATTATGAGCCAAAAGTTGGTGTATCTAATTAAAACGTGTAATGGTGTCAATTCCAACTTCCGAATTCAGTGTTCGAAGTTTCAAAAGTGGTGCACTCGGTGTTCGGGACTCATCTATGCTTTCCACATATCCATTAGGCCACACCAATTTAATTTGTTGGTTCTCGGATTCGCCTCTTTGTTTTTTCTGATTTGCAAAAAAAAAAAAGATTCTGGTTCTGAATCAACTCAAATATGTCCAATTATTCTGCCCAGTTGAGGAAATGTTTTCTTAGTTGTTACAATTTTTCCATCTATCAATGTTGTGCTTTGATTAAAAGTTCAAAATTCATTGTTTAAATATTGACCCAGCCTTTTGTGTTGACTTCATGGCTCCTATTGTAACATTTGGGGCTATAACAGGATGCCAAGACCTATCTTTTTTTTTCAGCCCTGTCACTTCATTTTTTTTCTGAAAAAAATCTGAGAACCAACAAATTAAATTGGTGTGGCCTTACCATCTGATATGTTACATGTAACACAAAAGTAAACGGACAGTTGGGTTAAGCATTTGGGATTTATGGCGGGAGTCCAGAATTAAAACTTTTTTCCGTAATTAAATGGTGACTGTTAGGCCCAGAGGACTTCATTCACACTTTTGGCACACAAATCCAAACTACTAGTATCCAATTCTATTAGGTGGCTCAGAAATAGGAATTCCTGCAGGAAAGAAATTCCTGCAGGAATTCCTGCAGGACATTCCTGCAGGAAAAAGTGTCTTCCTGCAGGAATTCCTGCAGAATCTGCAGGAATTCCTGCAGGAAGAAAAATTTCAAAATGGATATTCATGAAAGTTATTATCATATTTGACAACTATACATCATACTTGTCAATCATATATAAAGACTTTGTACTAAGTGCTTTTATATTGAAAATATCAGCACTTGTCAAAATGGGAAAAGTGGAATTCCAAACTTATATTGGAGACTTTTTGATAGATCATTACTCATAAGCTTTTATATATAACTGATTAACAGAGAAAGATAGACAAATATAAACTACACAAAAAATTAATTTCAAACATAAATTGAAAAATATAAATCACACCCCAAATGCATACAGTTAAATTTAATAATAACTTTCGTCATTGGATGATCAACTAATATAATATATGCAAAGAGGGCCTTTTTTACTTAATTTATGGGAAATGTATAAAATATCAATATCATAGCAATGGTTAGAGTCAAGTCCGCGTCACTGTGTGGGTTTTTTCTCCATGTTTGTAATACTTTTGAATGATTTAGGAGACAAGAATACCCCAGTAACAAAAGTTCTTAATTTTCCAAAAATTAGAAAATGAATATTTGAATATGTTTGTTTTAATGAATTCATTTAGATATTTCTGACTGAAACATTTTGAAAGTGGCTTTACAAAGATCTCTTCATTTAGAATAAATTTGAACTACACATGTGTTTCTTTCACTATTCGAAATATTTAGAAATATTTCAAACAAATAACCAAATGGCAGATGTGGGTAATTGCCCCATAAAAGTAGTTTCTAATCCGACTCTTCGGTCTTCTTCTGTATATTTTTAGATTTCACTCATGGACACTAGTGGCTCTTTTGTTGTAAGGCATCAATACCTGAGGCCTAGGCAGTCTACCCTGTACTTCACAGGGATGTGTGAATTACTTCCTTCCCATCCCACTGACCTATTTACAAAATGTTAGAAATAATTGAAAATAATGGTAAAAAATGGTAGAGTGTTGTTAGAAATATTCAGAAACTATTGGAAATGTGATATTCCACATCAGGAATATTTCACAAGTTTTACAAAACGAGGGAATTTTTTAGAATGTTGAAAAGATATTCAAAATATTTCTAAGTTATGAAATTTCTTAGACAAACCATTACAACGAATTCACAACATTTCTAAGTAATGACAAAAATAACCGACACGGTAACGCGGACTTGACTCTTACACCCCTTGACTAATTCGAAGTCCTGTAACTCTTGGTAAGTTACTAAGTACTGACTTGCACGAGATATTCAGAACTCTATGTTATGTTCGTATATCCTTATATAATTCTAGTCTGTGTTTTGAGAAGTTTTTATGTCTGCGTGTTTGTTTTTTTTTTTGTTTGCTTGTTTGTTAACCATTAATCCTGATGTATATCCATTGATCGACTATGTATTCTGAACACATACCTGGCAATCATGTACGATTGACCGAGATCCACCCACCAGCTTGGATCAGTCTCTCCTGCGTCTGCAGTGTGTGTACAAGTTCCAGAAAAGAAGTTGGTATCGGTGTTCCCGTCCACGGCACGGCTGGCAGCCCGAGTGTGGTGCTCAGTGGTTGTTTGGTACGCCGTCTTCCCAAGTGCGACATTGACACCTGTTCCGGACGAGAGGACTGTCATTATCAGTATTATAGACCCGGATTACCTGGAATACTACAGTAACGTACAGCAGCGATCACACGGCCCTTTATTTCTGCACATACCGGGAGTAAGTGCCCTGGGACTCTCACTGCGTCCCGCATTAGCGTGGCTTACTGACTTATGGCGGATTTGGAAAGCGAGCCATTTCAAAATAGCTGAAAATCACGCGTTTGACTGTCTGTCAACACAATTACTTGAGAAGGCTTACGTGGTTTGCCTTAGTACTACGTATATGGGTAGGTTCTGATGAGAATTGATTAGATTATATGATTATATTTTGGTCCCCTTGATGCTTGTAATGACACTGCATAAGAGCTTCGATTTTTTTTTTACATCTCGTGATTTAGATCTGCTAGAGTCAGAAAGCTGTTCTGTTTAGAGATGAGGTGAGTTAGGGTATTCTACCAGCCTGTTCTGGAACTGTTGGAATATTCGTTGAAACGTATTTAATGAATGATAACCCAAGAACCAGTTGACAGATCGACGTGATTTTAAATATGTTTAGTAGCTAGCATAAGAGATTTTTTTTATAATTAGATGCAAACAATTATATGCAGACGGCACTATTGCCTTGTACATGGTAGGGCCCAAAATTTGAAGACGACTGTAGTCCACAGTTGATGATTTTAAAAATTCTTATTTTCTTCTTCTACTTTGGAGACTTCGGGGCTAAGAATAGGTAGAAAAGGAATGGTCAAAATTTTCCTAATTTGGTCAAATTTACTTTATTTCACCAGTTCAATGGGTATAATGAGAGACCTGAGCGGTGAGGTTTTGCCTGCTTTTTGGCCGTCATGAGCGGCAAAATTCCGTCAAATGACGGAAAAAAGGGCGCTGGCTAGAAACCTGGCGCCAAACACAGATGACAAAAATGAAAGATAATTACACAAATGTGTAAAATGTGGAAGTAAATTAAAGATTTTAATATTCTTATTGTTAATGCAAAACTCTTACGCAATGCGGATAGAACAGTTATACGTATTAATTCATATTGTCATATTATAATTTTCACTATTTTACTATTGTCGCCATTACTATGAAAGGTATTATCACTTAAGATAGTATAATTTATACCCTAGTGAAGGCATCTAAGGTCACTTGTAACCTTTAATATTTAAGGTAAAGTTATTTCCTTCTAAGTACCTTAGATTAATTTAGATATAAACATAAGTAAAAAATTTTCTTCGAATAACTCAGAGTTTACCCCACCTATGTCATGACAGAAAATACTAAAGATGTTTCCAGGTGAGATTACGCGTGCGATTGGCCCGAAAAATGTTTGCTTGATAATCGATAAGACAGCACGTTTATAGCTGTTGTTTATAACTAACCTTCACTGCCGCTCAGATCGCGCAAGTTCCGATTGGCTGCCTCATTTGGGCCTCGTATGGGTCCTGTGATAAAAAAAGTCCATTCATTCATTCATCCATGTATTTATTTATTACCTTCGCCAAGAAGGTTATGTTTTCGTTGGCATTCGTGTGTCTGTCTGTGTGTGTGTGTGGGTGTGTGTGTGTGTGTGAGCACGATAACTCAAGAAGGCTAAGATGGATTGTCTTGATACTTAGTAGGTGGGTAGGTCTTCATGAGACGTGGAACTGATTAGATTTTGGGCCCCCTAGCGGCTTGTTATGGTACTGCAGCTGAACTTCCGGTTTTGGTATCTCGTGATCTAGACATACATTGTACTAGGGTGACGAAATTTGGATGGAAGGTAGCTCATGTGCTGGGGAACAAGTGTCGTGAGTTTGCTCTGGAACTGCAGGGGCATTAGTTGAAAAATGTTTAAAGGCGGATAACTCAAGAACCGATTGATGGATCTTCGTGATCTTTGGCATGTAAGTAGCTGAAGTGTTGATTGACATAATGATATTGTAATTATGCAAATATTAATGTTATTTGCAAAATTAATGAGGAAATTCTATAAATCAGCTGCATTCCATGATAGGACTATTCAAGCTTGTGACATATGTAATTCAGAACGGCAGAAATACAGGCAGATATCGATTATGTAAATGAAGACTTAATTTGCATAATTAACGAGAAAATGTTATAATTGCATAGTGGTAATGTCTGGAATTTCATACTTGGGATATTTGAAAGTTATGTGAAGGTGAACATAATTAAACATAACTTATTCAAATAAGGACCTCATTTGCATAATTTATGAGGACATGCTATGATGGCATGCATTGATAAGTCTTCTGGTGTAGAATATGATCAACAGATATAATTGATGCAATATAGGATCCTATTTGCACAATCAAGGGGATTCATCTATAATTTCTTAGTCATAAAGGCTAACATCATTTGGCGAAGGTATGAGATCGTGGAACTCTAGTTGATAATATAATTGTTGTTTTATCTCAATAACTTCCAGGTACAATTAAGGGTTAATGTCCCGCCCCGAGGTGAATATGTTGTGATAAAGCCTTGTCAGTTCCTATAACCACCGAATAAAGCCACCAAGTGAGCGCAGCGAACGAGGTGGCTTTATGAGGCGGTTATAGCAACTGACAAGGCTTTATCACACCATATTCACTGAGAAAGGGCGGGCCATTAACGGTATTATCATATAGCTTACACGATAGCCTATCCAAACTGATGCAGTGAAGAGTGACACAATGTACAATTTACCCCTTGCACATGCTGAATAGAACATAGAATATTTGTTCCATCTGGAGTCACCTGAGGTCACTGGGGGGTTCACGTTCTATGGCCTTCTATCTGGGTCACAGGCAGGGAACAGGTGTTCTTATGGGAGTCACCCGAGGTCATCTGAACACAACTCAAGTTATTTTTGGATTTTTTAGAACTAGAGCCGTGTTCTATTGGGTCACCTGAGGTCATATGCGGGTGATTATTGGGTTTGTTTAATGTATGGATTGGGATGAATAAATACCCGATCTTGACTCTATTTGTGACATTACGGCGACATAAGGAATGTGGAATGGAGCCTTCTGATTGGTCAACGTCACCTGGCTATATGATAATTTGTTTTGGTGACTTATGATATCGTTTGTATCAAAGTTGAATGGAGTGTAGGAGAAA